GGATCCTCAACGATTTTCCACCACTCAAAATGAGCTGCTTTCAAGGTAATATGCTGTTCCAATTGCTGCTGTCAGTGACAGTTTTCACAGTGGCATCTGATGCTCGAATTTTGGGCCAATGTCAATGCGATGCGTACATGAAATGTGAAGAGGGCCTCAAACAACAAATGAGCTTCAAGAGTTGTATGAAGACGTGCAAGGTAACTTTACAAGTGCTTCATTCAAAGAGTATATAGGGATTAGAGAAATATTCACCCAGCTTCGATAAATGCCAATTTTACAGAGTGCGGCTGGGGATGGCCTGCCTAAAGCGTATTTTGTTTGTTTGAACCAGTTCGAGCATTTACTGACGAATACGATGAAGTGCACACACGACGCTGTCGGATCTGGGTAACAGCCTTCCTTCTTGCGGTCATATTCTGAGATCATCTCATTCTTTTCCAGGTGTACTAGTAATGAAGAGCAACGTGTTGAGGCGGCGGAATTTCACAGTATTTGAGGAAATTTTCCAGAAGGACTTCAAAGAGATCGCCGAAAAAGTCGGTAAGTCTGAAAAACTCCATTTATCTCTCATGCTTGGACGGTGAGCTACTATCTATTTACCTTTTGTAACCACTTGCCCAGAGAAAATGAAGTGTTTCATTTTATTACTTTTGATATTTCCCGCTGCAGAAACCTTTTGGCCTTTTGGTTGGAGCTGGTAGAGGCAGAAGCCTTCTAGACGTGAATTGTCACCTTTGCGTACAATACTTACATGGTTGGCATCTCTACAGGGGTTTATCAACGTTCAAGGGAAATGGTATAGGCGGAAAAACTGGTGGATAACTGTCCACAGAGTCCACAGTACGTTTGGGCCGAGAATGCTGGCTAATTCCTGGATTCTTTTCAGGCGTTTCCTTCAACAGACTCACAGAACCAGCTAGAATTATGAACCACTGCCTTCTCGGCTGCTTTTATCCAGCTCAAAATATCTGCACAATGAAAATGAAGTGAGTCAGGGTCTCACAAAAGTCGCCTTTCAGAGTAAGCGTCCTCTCTGTTCAGATGCGGTCTATTCATGCCAAACGAACTCCGGCTTATGGACAATCTTACCAAATGTGCTCTGCAGAATGATGTCTCCAAAGGCATCATGATGGAGATGGCAACCTGCTTGAGTGAGTTATAATCCATTGTCCTTTGAACCCTAGAACTAGTGTAGGTTTTGAATCTCTTTGTCTCTCTGAGTCCGAGTTCTCATAACCGAATTATTGTTTGGAGGTGCATGCCGCAGGTCCTATGCCCAAGGTTGTAAATTAACATTTCTTGCAGAACTGTGGATGCTAAAAAGGTAGAGGAGGAGCAAGAGGAGTACACTGAATGATAGCCTGTTTCCATAGAACCATCACCGGCTCACAACTCTCACTCCGATCTCACCTTATTATTTGTACAGCTCTATGTTATTTGTCAATATATTTATTTGTGCTACGTCATGTATTTTTATTAGCTTAATACTATTTACGAATTTATAACAATTAAGAACGACAACATGTCGAATCATGCCAATTGCCACTGCATGATGATGATTAATTCGGTGGAATGTGTCATCTGTGATTCAAATTCTCCAAAACTGATGTGATCTGGAAACAAGGACAGTCGTTTCACAACTGAGACTTTTTTAATGCATTAGCTTTGAAGGCGTGCCCAAAGGTCGAACTGGGGCGGTTCTTGCACAATATGAAAGCACTGAGGCGAAATGGGCCAGCAGTAAAGAAGAAAAGAAACGAATCTGTTAAAAATGCTTAAATCAAAACGAAGGATTACGATAGGTGTGCATGGAAGCACATGCAAGTAGACAGCCGCCAGAGGAAGCGAGATGTGGCTTCTTGAGGGCTGCGGTCGCGCTGGTTTTGCGCCGGACAAAGCCGGGCTTGCCAATCCCTTCGGAGCCCCAGCTCCGCCTGTGCTCGTTGGCTGGTAAGTGGGCAAAGAAAGGGGCCACATTTCACGTGCTCTTGAAGGATTTCTACCTTTTTTGCCACTGGGACATTTTCATATTCAGCGGATGATACCATAACCCCAATGATACTGTAAACCCAACCCAATCTTATCGTAATCTCTCGCTTTAAGGCTTGCACACCATCCTGATGCGGCTGTGCTAGAGCAACGAGAGGCTGAGCGCGGGGAGGAGATTATAAGTGGAGAGCGCAACAGATGAGAAGGCGCAGCAAGCCTAAGCCTGCTGCGGGCAGGGGAGGTTGAAGTGCTGGCTGTCTTGGCAAGGCCTTAGTGCCCTTGTCGGGCGAATGCACGATCCTGTGATTGTCCTTTAGAGGTCTTTCCTAAACACGGAGAAGGGAATCGTTCGGGAGGCTTCTGATGCGATGTGCCTTCAACAGGATGTTGGGAACAGGTGACAATGAATATCGCGGCGGTACAGATTTCAAACGCTCTGAGGTACATACAAACCATACAACTTAGTAACTCCTGGTGCATCAGTGAAGCCGTAAGAATTGAAGGTGATGGCCCAGCTTCGACATTACCGCCCATAGCAGTGTATATGTGTTTACTTATTTCTATGACTACTTCGCCCTCGGTAGAACTCTATACGAAATTCTGGCCCTATTCTAACCATGCGGCCATTGCGTGAAACCGTCAATATTTTCTGTATGTCCTACATCCACTTCAGGCGCATCTTCACTGCAAGATGGAACGGAGGAGCGGTTCAGAAATAGATATTATACTTCCGTCTTCGATGTTTCGCGGTCTATCAACTATTACAAAGACTAACCTTTCCACAGACAATATGGCCGACAACTTGGTCTTTTTTAGAGTAGATGGAGAAAATATGTTGACCTTCATAACCCGCTTGCCGATTTATATCCTGAAAAGGTAAGTTGCGTGTTCGAATAGTAGAAATGAGGCAAGGACGTCAGCGAGCTTGAAAATCTTAACATACCTGAAGGAATTCACTTTCGCTTGGACATAATCCGGAATAGAGACCGGTCACTTGATTGCATACAGGTATGACACTGAGAACACATCCAGGAATGGCAACTCCACCCACCTGCAGAAGTCAGAGCTTGTCAAGCGATTTGTAGGTCTATTCAATCAAATTGGAGCAAGGTGTACAAGTAGCTTGGTAACTCATTAAGCGTAACTCGAAGCTTATCGTTAGCTGACTCGAGCTACGAACGGAGCAATCCCATTTAGTGCATGGGCTGTAGCAACAAGCTCTGAAGATCCCCAAAGACCTTCGGAAGGCCCTATGCAACAAGGCTTTAAAGGTCGTTAGTTGAATCTTCAGGGCTTGTTGCATACATGCGCCAGATGAGAAGTGAAGCACCAGCGTCACCTTATCACGAGCGAAAATGTACTTCGAAAACAACTTACAGGTGCTGTCAGCTCTTCAGGGAAAAATTTTGCTGCGAAATATAAGTAACGACGAGCTTACAAATAAATAGAAATAATAACAAACTTAGAAATAAGGAGAACACGTGGAGGTTGCGTGAGGAAATGAGGATTGGGAGGGGGGGTGGGAGGAATGAATTAGCCGCCTTTCACAGGATCAAAATCCTCATCTCCGTAGTTTCAATCATTTTACGCGCCATGGCATCGAGAATATACAACACAGCAAAGGCAAAATCGCAGCATACATGCAGGCTCATAGAAATAAAAGCGACACGAAGAATGTAGCAATATTCAATGCTAAAATACTCTGTATGCAGAATTACAATCACCGTAACCTGCAGTGCCATTGCAATGGAATGACCCTGATCGGGAGATAACGCATAGGCTACTCACCTGCAGTGTGATGCCATGATTCGGCCCGGCCACTCAACAAAAGTGTCGATGTATTTCGTCAGTGGACCGCCAAGGCGGACTCACCAGAGTCAACGCATTCGACCTGCCAATTTTTCAGTGTTGGTGTCAGGCGAGTCACAAATCGCGCCGATTCGCCAAATCGCGAAAAATCGCAAGAGCCTCATGTAAATATTGAAAACACTTAAGTGAAATGGGTGCTAACTTAGTTGGGGGGGGCACGCGGCGGCGCGGCAGTCTGCTCGCCTGGCATGTTCGGAAATCCGTGGGCCAGGGGGAGTGTAGCCAGTCTAGGGGGGTGGGGGGGGGCAGTCACTTGACATGCGTGAAAAGCTGGAATGTTCGAGTTTACACTGTCTCGCTCGAGAGAGCCCAGGTGAGCAGACTGCCGCGCCGCCGCGTGGCCCCCCCCCCCCCCCAACTAAGTTAGCACCTGAAAAGGTAGGTTATGAGCAGGGCTCATTCAGCGCCATGCATAAGCCAGACAGTGAAGCGGCGGAGATTGGAAGACGCGCGCAGTATGACCGCGACAGTGTGATTCTGATCAGTATGCTCGAATCGCGCGCCAATAGAGAACTCTTGACACCAGCCTTAGGAGCGAAGACACTATAAACAAAATAAATAAACTTTCCAATTTGAACCTTCTTTACACATCTGAAATGGACATTCGCACCTACTGCTTTGCCAGATAGGTGACTAGCGAATGAAGCGAAGAGTTCCAAATTTTGATAGCGTGCGAATTAAGAGGAGAGTATTTGAAATCTGCCAGACGTTTGTTGATTATCTGAAGACTTCAGAAGCTATTGGAATTCCTCTTCAAAGGCTAACTCTACATTGGACGCATCGCGCTGATATCGGAGAAAGGGAGGGCTCGTCCAGCGCTGCGTTCACAAACTGCAGCATACGGGATCGCTTGGTGTCTCGCTCTGAAAGCTGGGGTGAGAGCTAGGCAGCAGTGTCCTGCTTTGCTCCGTTTTGTTGACCACTCATGTGCGAAGATCGTTTTGCTATGCAAGCGAAATTTGTGTCATTGTTAGTTCTTCACTCCTGACTAATGCTTCGGCAACCCTGACCCTCTACATAAAACTGTAGTGAGGTTTCATCTGAAGTTCTCTTGACCCGACTTAGAGACTGTAGTTAGATCCATTCGAAATGGATCGATGTGGACTGGGCAGAATCATCAGATCACTCAATCATTTACAGGCATTTAGAAAAAGGTTATCTGCATACCACAACGAATTAGGGCTTACTCAAGAAAGTCTGACGTAATCGGCGCTTCGGTAATTCCCATCTGCAAATTATGCTGAACTCCAAATCAAGATACCAACTTTGAACCAAAACTGAGTTGACAAGCTGAAGGATGAAGGATATTACCTCCAAGAATGGCTTTCCTGGATACCGGAACACCTAACGAGAAGGCGATGACGTCGACCGCTCGTCCGGTGTACAATCGCGTGGCGACAATCAGTGCTCGGACCTACAAGCGATACATAGAAAAATAATACCAGTCGAAAGTGAGCTGATTCAAAGCTGCTTATGCAGAACTACACATTTTATGATGCAGAAAATGTCAAGCGTTGAAGACTGGCAACAAAGTAGTAGAGGACATAGTTCTAGTATTGTACTTCAAGACAAACCCCGGCACTAGCCCGAAGTAGGAGCGATACCACGAGAAAAATGGTAAGGTCCGTACCTACCTAGATCACTCCATCTTCGTCGCTAAACTGCGCGGTTAGGGCGCTAATCTTTAGCTGGCCTGCAACCGTTCGTCCGATTTCCAACGCTTCCCACCCACCGCGATAGGTGGTATGATCAGCGCGCTCTCTCGCGCATTTTGTCTTTTCGACCGCCCCGTCTTGCCGTCGTACACAGGGACACTTATTGAAAGGTCGAGGCGCAATTTCAGCGCTTCTGAGAGTTTCTCTCAGCTTATCTTTCCACTTCTAGGCCTTTCTGCACTCAGTCGTCGTTGAACGCCCTCTTATTTCACCCGTTTTACCCGGCGTCCTTTACAATGCGCGAAACAGGCTTGTCAGTACATGAAACTATTCCACGTAGTAGTTTTACAAGGCTGCTTAGAAGCGGCAAAAAGCTTGGCAAGTGGCTTTCAACCATTTGGAAAATTCTCGCAACACTTTTGCAAACTTTCGTGCAATGCCTCTGAGTCTTTTGCAACAAATAGTTTGGGGCCTCACATTGTTTTTAACACTGAACTTCCATTCCACTTACAGAAGGCTTTTGAATTACTGTATGAACCTACAATTAGAAGTAAGCAATAGCTACAAGTCGATAAAGAAATATGCTCTTCCACCCTCTCTCCATCAAATGAGGTGCCAGCGGGTCAACATTGGATCAATGCAGGGCTTGTTTAGTCTCTTATAGTCAAGTGAGAGCCGGGATTCGACCCCTTGACGATGCGTTCTGTTGGTGACCGTTGCTGACGTGGACGAGACTGTTGCTTGTCTCAACCAGAAACCGGTAAAAGTGATTCGGTGAATGTGCTCTCCAAAGCGATAATGGATGATAATAAAATGCTCTAGAAATGAAAAAGAGGAAATGATCCAGTGATTGGTATGTAACCTGCTGTGGTCAACTTATTGTCGCCGTCTTATCAATCTTGCTCAACATGAACTGTAGCCTCAACTGGCTCAGAGCAGCACAGAGCAGAGTCGTCACGCAATCATAACGGATCTGTACTACTAATCACGGTCCAGTTACGTACCTGCTTCACATATTCACATCGCATACCATATTCGACCCATTTCAAAGGGTTTCCTTGTGCCCCATTGAAATACGTGGTAGAGTAGAGCTCATTGCTCTTGTAGCCCATTGACCTGTAAGATTATTTATATTTGAATGATAGCAAAAAGTGCTACTCCTTTACTCACTGTAGAATGGACAAACTAATTTAACTCAATAGATCTGGCGCAGGCCTCAGTACGGACGTTCGCTATTCCCCAGAATTACACTGCTACTATGTATGTACATATGTCTGTGTGTGTTCGCCTGTTTGTCGCAACATTCATGGCGCGATTCGTTGCAGCAGTGGAGCGATTTATTCTGAATACGATGTGGTGCGAGGGGTGGGGTGGGAACATTTTGTAGGGATACAGAAAGTGATCACAGCTGCCAAGGCTGATAAGAGGCACTGCAACAAAATTTCACAAAATTTATGCGCGTTTCCCAGCTGCAGTGAGAAGTTGGCTTTAAGACCGGATGTGGAGGGTGGAATGTGGAGGGTGGGACGGAAACATATTTGGTGGGGGACCGAAATCGATTTCAGTTAATAACAGGTGATAAGAACGATCAACTTAGAAGGGTAGAGGCCACTTAAAACCAGATTTCAGAAGGAACGCATTTCTATTCATTGTTATCATATTTGCGTTGGTATGGTCAGCATCAAACTCCATTCGACCGCTAGCTGTCCAAAATCCCTGATAATGTTTGGCAGATGTGAAAGAAATGCGATAAGGAGTGCTGGTATTCTATTTCAACATCACTATATAATATTTGGCCCAAGTATACAGGGGTGGCCAAAAAAAAGAGACACTTCACTCAACATTCAAAACGGAATTATTTACGCGTCGCGAAACCAAACCAAAAATGACCCCAACTGAATATTGAAGAGCACGTTATAATCTATCAACAAGCTACACAACAGCCTTCTACACCGACGACATCAGAAGATTTTCCCACGGAAGCATTGTGCACGGTACGAGCTCAACGAGGTCGTTCGAGATACCATAGACGATTACGACGTCTCTGAAACGGTCAAAAGCGGTTTTGCCTTAGTCA